CCATTTCCCTTTCTAAAGTCCTTACTAAAACTGCTGCTCCTGTGCTGCCAAGCTAGCTCCAGGCAGGTTCTCCCTAATAGTAAGCACCAGACCTTAATACTAAAAACTACTTCACCAGCTGGCATTTCCCTTTCTAAAGTCTTTACTAAAACTGCTGCTTCTGTGCTGCCAAGCTAGCTCCAGGCAGGTTCTCCTTAATAGTAAGCACCAGACCTTAATACTAAAAACTACTTCACCAGCTGGCATTTCCCTTTCTAAAGTCCTTACTAAAACTGCTGCTTCTGTGCTGCCAAGCTTGCTCCAGGCAGGTTCTCCCTAATACTAAGCACCAGACCTTAATACTAAAAACTACTTCACCAGCTGGCATTTCCCTTTCTAAAGTCCTTACTAAAACTGCTGCTTCCGTGCTGCCAAGCTAGCTCCAGGCAGGTTCTCCCTAATAGTAAGCACCAGACCTTAATACTAAAAACTACTTCACCAGCTGGCATTTCCCTTTCTAAAGTCCTTACTAAAACTGCTGCTTCTGTGCTGCCAGGCTAGCTCCAGGCAGGTTCTCCCTAATACTAAGCACCAGACCTTAATACTAAAAAAAACTACTTCACCTCCTTCCATTTCCCTTTCTAAAGACTTTACTAAAACTGCTGCTTCTGTGCTGCCAGGCTAGCTCCAGGCAGGTTCTCCCTAATACTAAGCACCAGACCTTAATACTAAAAACTACTTCACCAGCTGGCATTTCCCTTTCTAAAGTCCTTACTAAAACTGCTGCTTCTGTGCTGCCAAGCTTGCTCCAGGCAGGTTCTCCCTAATACTAAGCACCAGACCTTAATACTAAAAACTACTTCACCTCCTTCCATTTCCCTTTCTAAAGTCCTTACTAAAACTGCTGCTTCTGTGCTGCCAAGCTAGCTCCAGGCAGGTTCTCCCTAATAGTAAGCACCAGGCCTTAATACTAAAAACTACTTCACCTCCTTCCATTTCCCTTTCTAAAGTCCTTACTAAAACTGCTGCTTCTGTGCTGCCAGGCTAGCTCCAGGCAGGTTCTCCCTAATAGTAAGCACCAGACCTTAATACTAAAAACTACTTCACCTCCTTCCATTTCCCTTTCTAAAGTCTTTACTAAAACTGCTGCTTCTGTGCTGCCAAGCTTGCTCCAGGCAGGTTCTCCCTAATACTAAGCACCAGACCTTAATACTAAAAACTACTTCACCAGCTGGCATTTCCCTTACTAAAACTGCTGCTTCTGTGCTGCCAAGCTAGCTCCAGGCAGGTTCTCCCTAATACTAAGCACCAGACCTTAATATTAAAAACTACTTCACCTCCTTCCATTTCCCTTTCTAAAGCCCTTACTAAAACTGCTGCTTCTGTGCTGCCAGGCTAGCTCCAGGCAGGTTCTCCCTAATACTAAGCACCAGACCTTAATACTAAAAACTACTTCACCTCCTTCCATTTCCCTTTCTAAAATCCTTACTAAAACTGCTGCTTCTGTGCTGCCAGGCTAGCTCCAGGCAGGTTCTCCTTAATACTAAGCACCAGACCTTAATACTAAAAACTACTTCACCAGCTGGCATTTCCCTTTCTAAAGTTCTTACTAAAACTGCTGCTTCTGTGCTGCCAAGCTAGCTCCAGGCAGGTTCTCCCTAATACTAAGCACCAGACCTTAATACTAAAAACTACTTCACCTCCTTCCATTTCCCTTTCTAAAGTCCTTTCTCAAACTGCTGCTTCTGTGCTGCCAAGCTAGCTCCAGGCAGGTTCTCCCTAATAGTAAGCACCAAACCTTAATACTAAAAACTACTTCACCTCCTTCCATTTCCCTTTCTAAAGTCCTTACTAAAACTGCTGCTTCTGTGCTGCCAAGCTAGCTCCAGGCAGGTTATCCCTAATAGTAAGCACCAGACCTTAATACTAAAAACTACTTCACCTCCTTCCATTTCCCTTTCTAAAGTTCTTACTAAAACTGCTGCTTCTGTGCTGCCAAGCTAGCTCCAGGCAGGTTCTCCCTAATAGTAAGCACCAGACCTTAATACTAAAAACTACTTCACCTCCTTCCATTTCCCTTTCTAAAGTTCTTACTAAAACTGCCGCTTCTGTGCTGCCAAGCTAGCTCCAGGCAGGTTCTCCCTAATAGTAAGCACCAGACCTTAATACTAAAAACTACTTCACCTCCTTCCATTTCCCTTTCTAAAGTCTTTACTAAAACTGCTGCTTCTGTGCTGCCAAGCTTGCTCCAGGCAGGTTCTCCCTAATACTAAGCACCAGACCTTAATACTAAAAACTACTTCACCAGCTGGCATTTCCCTTTCTAAAGTTCTTACTAAAACTGCTGCTTCTGTGCTGCCAAGCTAGCTCCAGGCAGGTTCTCCCTAATACTAAGCACCAGACCTTAATATTAAAAACTACTTCACCTCCTTCCATTTCCCTTTCTAAAGTCCTTACTAAAACTGCTGCTTCTGTGCTGCCAGGCTAGCTCCAGGCAGGTTCTCCCTAATACTAAGCACCAGACCTTAATACTAAAAACTACTTCACCTCCTTCCATTTCCCTTTCTAAAGTCCTTACTAAAACTGCTGCTTCTGTGCTGCCAGGCTAGCTCCAGGCAGGTTCTCCCTAATACTAAGCACCAGACCTTAATACTAAAAACTACTTCACCAGCTGGCATTTCCCTTTCTAAAGTTCTTACTAAAACTGCTGCTTCTGTGCTGCCAAGCTAGCTCCAGGCAGGTTCTCCCTAATACTAAGCACCAGACCTCAATACTAAAAACTACTTCACCTCCTTCCATTTCCCTTTCTAAAGTCCTTACTAAAACTGCTGCTTCTGTGCTGCCAGGCTAGCTCCAGGCAGGTTCTCCCTAATACTAAGCACCAGACCTTAATATTAAAAACTACTTCACCTCCTTCCATTTCCCTTTCTAAACTCCTTACTAAAACTGCTGCTTCTGTGCTGCCAGGCTAGCTCCAGGCAGGTTCTCCCTAATACTAAGCACCAGACCTTAATACTAAAAACTACTTCGCCTCCTTCCATTTCCCTTTCTAAAGTCCTTTCTCAAACTGCTGCTTCTGTGCTGCCAAGCTAGCTCCAGGCAGGTTCATCCATGAGGTGGAGATTCATCCAAGAGCCACCGCACCTTTGCAATCCTCAGCCAGTGATTTACAGCCAGACAAGTCAGATCTCCAATCATCAGGCAGTGATTAGCACAACAGGTAGCTGTTTTAGCGTTCTTTCTTTTTTTTGGCTGAGCCACTTGTGCAGCCAAGGAACAGCAGACCCAGGTCCTGCAGGCAGCTCTCACCAGCTTGCAGGACATCCAGCAAGAACTCCACTTGGTGGGGAAAAAGGTGTGCTGCATGGAGCACCGCCAAGCAGCTAGGCAGCAATGATGTCCATCAGACAGGCAGCGAAGAATGTGCATCCCCCATTAATTCCTTAATTACCTTGCCATCATTAAATATTTACACAGTCAGAATTATATACATATATCTCCTCCTACATCCACCTCCTCATTATATTACTTATTGTCCCAACAGTATATATATATAATTATATATATATATACACATATATAGACTTCTCTCAGGACAGCTGGTACAGCTTCGGGGCAGACGTCAGCAGACACAGCCAGCAGATGCAGACGCGGACAGACAGATGGGCAGTGGCCAGACAGACGTGGCTGACGCGCCTCAGACAGGCAGGCGTCCCTTTTTCGTGGTGCTGGCTCTGCTGCTCAGACAGCTGAGCAGCTAGGCAGCCAGACAGCTCCCAGCAGACAGCACAGAAAAGGGAGCAGCAGGAGAGGCAGGCTGGAATCTTGAATAATAGTAAAGTAATTAACTTATTACATGGGTCACCTTTAAATAATTACCAATAATTGCTGTTGTTTTGATGGGAAATATAAATTCAAGATTCCAGCCAGCTCAGACAGAAAGGCATCCCTGGCTGGCTGCCTTTCTGTCTGAGCTGGCTGGAGTCTTGAATTTGTTTTTTAACCCCCTAAAATTAAGGGAAACCCTTAACATAGGTGTTTATGGGATCTTCCAAATTCAAGACTCCAGCCAGCTCAGCAAGACCTTGCAGACAGCAAGGCAGAGGGGTGGCTTTTCAAGCAGCCAGACAGTTCCTTGCAGCAAAACATGCAGGCAGCTAGACCAGCCAGGCAGCTTGGATTTGGGGAGTAGGACTAGCCCCCCTAATACTAAACACCCCGGGATGAATTAGTTTTTAGTATTAGGGGGGAGAACCCACAAATGGTAGGTTGATTTTTGAATTGTTTTTTAAAGGGGATCAATTAAAAGTCAAATTGGCCAAACTGAAATTTTCGGAAATTGGAGATGGATGCCTGTTTTTAGTATTAGGGGGACGTTTAGTATTAGGAGGAAGGGATTAAGGCCCAATCTGAGACGTGACATGGCACTTCATGTCGCAAGGTGGAATATTTCATTGTATATACCCCAGTCCAAACCCATCCCACCCGCATCATCAGTTCATTCTGCTTCATTGAAATTATCTTTAGCTCTGGGGAATCAGCTTAATGTGTGGAAAGTATTGCACATATCCAAGAAATGACTTTTTGGAACTGGGTCATTGCTGTTTCGAACATCCAGCGTTCTGATGCTTCTCTCATCATTTTCGTTGCTTAAAACCATCACTTTGTTGCGACAGTGAAATCATATAAACACCTCTGCCACCATGATTGCCATAAGCTCTGGCTCATGGAAATCCAAGCAACCCCACTCGGCCAGGCGACTCCTTCAACAAAAATCGTAAGTTTCGGGGCGAATCGTAACCACCAACAGTCAGAAGGGTTTGCTGGCCATCTTGGGCGTGGCGCCACACCGGAGTTGATCCCAGTATATCCCATTTCCCAAATATCATCCCGTCATTATATACTCAGTATATCCCCAATATATCCCATTCAATCAGCATTTTGGATGCTTTCTCCTCCCATTTGAGGCTACATCAGCTACATCTGAGGATTTTCTTTCGATCTCCCCACAGTTTCACCTGCCTCACCAAGGCGGCGCAGCGGCAAATCACCAGTGCATTGCTGGGAGCTGCTGATTGGCCCTGGCGGTTTTCGCGGATGTCCGGGGTCAGACCATGGGACGATTCTGGAGTTTTCTTTTTGGGGTGTACCCTCTGGTAATTCAACGTAGCTATGGAAAATCACCATTTTTAATGGGAAAATCCACTATAAATGGCCATTTTCAATAGCTATGTTAAATTACCAGAGGGTAAATATTGTTAAACATAGACTGTAAACATAGACTGTACACATAGACTGCAATAGCAATAGAACATGGTGAACATGATGTAATCTCGTAGGAACTCTTTAGTAAGATCACTGGAACATTCATTCTTCACAGCAGGGCTACGATGATCCGATGTTCTCCTCTGACCCTGCCCTTTCCTTTGAAAACCTCTGGTTTTCCACATTTTCATCAAGGTATGGGCCAAAACTGGGCCAGTGTCAACCTTTCCAACGCATGCGTTGCACCGAAATATGGCTTTTCATTGTGGGAAGAAACAACAAGAAACACAAAGGAACTAACAAAATAAGTTCTTCTTAGATGATCTCATTTTTCCTTTGGTATCCTGTGGTATCCTTTGATTTCCTTTGGTTTCCTTTGGTTTGGGGCTGGGTGGACTCTATGGTGTTCCTTTGGTTTCCTTTGTTTTCCTTTGGTTTCCAAGAGAGAAACAAAGGAAAAGAACATCTAAGGAAAAAACAAACCAATCAAGGACAGTCTAAATAGAATGCATCAATAATGCCTGTTACTAAGTAGGCTGCTAGATAATCACATCAATAATGACAGTAACAATATGTACACACACACACACATATACATATACACGTATACACACCTGGGTAATTCATAAGATTTCACTAACCTAAAGCCTGTGGCCATTCTAAAGCCACTTTCGAAGCCTCCGGGTAGTCTGCTCCTTCTCGAAGCGGCACATCTCGGTCACCAACGAAGATCTCACCGCCCATCTGGGGGTTGGACGATCTCGGACGCCAGAAGTCTCTCTCTCTTCTGCAGCCGTGGCCAAGGTCGAAGGCCTCCTATATGCCTAGCATTTGGTAGATGGCCAAGCGCACCATTTACAACAGCAGCGGCCTCACCTTCAAAGGCCGCCCAGCGCTCCCACCAAGCTTCTGGATGATGGGACGACATTCTCCTCGTTTCAAATCCCGTGTGGTAAAAACAAGGACACTGTTATTTATGGTGGGGGGGTTCCTAAAACGGGGGTACCCCCCAAATCATCCATTTTGGGTGGGATTTTCCATGAAATCAAGCATCCAGCTATTGAATATTGGGATACCCAGGATTTTAGGAAACCTCCATGTGGGAATAGATCTTCCAATGTGGCCTCCCCCGGTTATAAGTTGCTGTTTAAACCCCATTAACCATAGTTATAAGTACCATAAATCATAGTTATTGGAGTTATAAATCAACTTAGCTATCTTAGGGGCCCCACATTTTATAGTCTAGTTCAAGTCCTTGGGCACCCTTCTAGACTCACAGATTGCTGGTCATTGCTGTTGGATGATCCAAAAAAAGGAGGTCCCATTGACAGCAGTTGGGATCCATGGATCCATGGCTATGTTCCAAATACCTTTTCCGCAAGTTATACAAATTGCTGGTTTCACTCTATCTGAGAAATATCATATGGTTTAACATGAAAAATATGTGAAACTAGCCAGCGGCAAGATTTTTATAGCTTATATTTATATTACCCATTCTATTCCATTCTTGGATGATTTAATGCACATTGAAATCCATTCATCCAATGCACAAATTTCTATGACCCAAGGGTCTTTCCAAAGATTTTTTTTGATTTCTCACAGCAAGGATCATCCCACAAGCCTGTTGTTATCCCACTGATAAATGGGCCCAGCTGCTTGATAGGTTTTCTATATGGCCAATCACCAATAAACTAGGTATTTTTATGTATTTTTGGTACAAGATGTACAAGGTGCTTATAAATACCATCTGGTTATTTAACATAGCCATGGAAAATCACCATTTCTAATAGGTAAACCATCTATAAATGGACCATTTTCCATGGCTATGTTAAATAACCAGATGGTAACCCCAACAAACACTCTCCGGTTGCATCGCTTGGCCGCTTGGCTACCTCCAATGGAGTAGCAGTGGCAGGCAGTGTTGCAGCCACCAGGATGAACTTCATGTCCTGCCATGGCTCTTGGCTAAAAGGGGGGAATTTTTCACAAAAAAAACCAACAGAAATCAGGAGCGACATTTTGAAGCTCACAATAAGAGCCGGTGATTTTTGAAGGGAATATCATGAGGATATCTCCAAAAATGTAATTATTTCTAGCTCTTGAAATTTATTGGGATGTATATAGCCACATTCTGATATGGCTTTGCAAAATGGATGGGATGCAGTAGAACGGTTGTGGATTCGTACGGAACACGACAATCCCATCCCAAGATCAGTCATACGAGCTGCTCCTACTGGGCTGCCAAGCAAATAGGTCCAATAATGAATCATGTCTTAGGTCCCAAACTGAGTGGTGCTCCAAGTGGTGCTTATTATCGTTTTTAGGGGAAGGAAATTGATCAATAGACATCATAGAAATTATCTACAGACAGATCAATGGTTCTTCCACAATGTGGTCCCCAATTGATATTTGATCTGTAGGTAATTGGGTTCATAGAAACCACTTGTACCTTGGGGACCACATTGTGGAAGTACAATCCATCACCCCTGTTGCACAGTGCTACATCGCCAGGTGATGTCTACCCATGTTTTTTTGGCTGATATCATTGATGGATGGGCAATGCGCTGCAGACGAATTTCTTGATATTAGATATATTAGATATATTAGATATATTAGATATATGAGATATATGAGATATATGAGATATATTAGATATATGAGATATATTAGATATATTAGATATATTAGATATATTAGATATATTAGATATTCCTCTTGATGCCTTAAACATTCTGGTTGGTGGTTTCAACCCCTCTGAAAAATATGAGTTCGTCAGTTGGGATTATGACATTCCATATTCCCAACTGAATGGAAAGGAAAATAATACATTCCATGATTCCAGTCACCACCAACCAGCATTATGCCCACATGTTTCCTTAAAAATACACCCGCATTTCGCGGAAGAAAGCAACACATTTTGAGGGATCCCATAGATCAACCACAATCTGTGGGTCACCCAGGTCGCTATGATTGGCAGCCGCTACACCTCCGGCAATCAATGGTTGGCAATGGTTAATAGCGACTAATAGTGGTTAATAATGGTGAATAATGCTTAGGTGTTTGTCTGCAATCATCACTTTCTAGATTTTTGGGTTTCTATATTTGCTCTTTTTAGTCAACCTGTCAACCTATTTCATCATTTTTGCATGGGTATTCATCAAAATTTCAAGCCTGCGCAAAAAACAACACATTGTGGGTGTGTGTTCATAGGTGCCCACGTCTGAGCTCTCCATCCAAACTAGATGATATTGTGGATCATATATTCCATTATTTTTCCATTATCCTATTATCATCCTATTATTCTCCTACTATTATCCCATATCCCCATGATATTCTCTTTATGAATCCCCAATGCTTCTTGGTTAATCTCATTAAATCACAATTCCTTGATGAGTCAATGGCCATTTCAGGAACCTAAATTGGAGGTACCTACCATATATAAGGCCTATGTAAGGGAATATACCCCCAAAATATGGCCTTATATGGTACAGTACCTCCAATTTAGGATCCTGGAATTCCCATTGAATATGTAAACCTGGTAAAATGCTTGGTTCAGATACCACCAGCACGGCTGCGCCATCACCAGTCCTGCCCAGAGGCTTGCTGAATGCCATGAAAGTGGCACAAGCCTGCACACCTGGCCACACAAAACCCCCAAAAAAGCGGTTTTAGGGTGTAGGAAACCATCGGTTCTACTAACAATTGTATAATATATATATATATAGTATATATATATATATACATGTATGATATATACATATATGTATATGTATGTATATATATATATTATATAAATATATATATATATACACATAATTACATATAATTACATGACATATGAAGGGTTCATACAAACTGGGCACTACGGAATTCGGAGGATATCCGTAATTCTCCCAATCCTGGTTCTTACCCTAATCCGTTGCAATGCGTACTCCGGTGCTCCTATGCATACTCACATTGCATGACGGCAACAATTTCAGAACACGCCTCCAAGTGGCACAAAAAAAAGTGTGTAACAAAAGGATTGCTTTCGGGCGGGCCCGGAAGCACTTCGAAAACACTCCGAGGTGCTTCTGTAAGCTGCTGCTTCTACGTCTCTGCGTTGGGGGGGAGGACTCAGGAGTATGCAAAGTGGTGTAGACTGTAGACTAGTGTAAAGTGGTGTAGAGTAGTGCAAATAGCCTAGAGCAGTGCAAAGTAGTGTAGAGCAATGCACGGTAGCATAAAGTAGTGTTGGGTAGTGAAGAGTAGTGTGGAAATGGAAAGAATCAGACAACATCACACATATAGAACATACTGACTGGTGGAAGAGTGTTGCACAGTCGTTTTGTGCAGGGTAGTGAAGAGTAGTGCATAGTATATAATTAATTATAATTATATATAATATACACATAATTATATATAAAAATTGTAAAGTAGTGTAAAGCAGTGAAGGATCTTGTAGAGTAGTGCAAAGTGGTGTAGAGATGTACAAGACTAGTCTAGAGCAGTAGTGTAGAGTGCGTACTATACGGAGTGCCTCTTAAAGAAGCGTCACTAGCACAGGAACAGTTACATAAAAACCACTCTCGATATCCGCAATCCGCAAAACGACAATCCGCAATCCGGGGCAAAGGATTAAGGATTACATTTGAAGTGCCCAGACAAACGTTCCCTTCATTGAATTCTGGGAGCAAAATATCAGTCGGATCTTAACACGCAAAGCTGGAGATTCACTGGTTGATAATCCTAGTTGTAGCATGTTGTAGCTAACATATGGAGCAAACTTGCCCATTTAATTTGGTTTGCACCAGCATGGGAAACCATCTTAGCTTGGACAGCTCCCCTTGTGTATTTGGGGTAAACTTCTGCACCATGAGCACTTCTGCATGATGCACAGCTTGTCCTGAGGAATTCTCTGGATTTCTAATGATAGGATACCGTCACCGAAGCCTTCGCCAGTCTAGTGTTCAACTTGCCCATTTCCAGATATGTTTTCTTGCGGTTCCATCTTATTTTTCGGGAGGTACTTCCACCTCTATTGCTTGGTTCAAACCCTGGGAAGCTCCTCCAAACAGGGCGATGTGGGCGATAGTGGTCTCGATGCCCCACCAGGAGGCAAGGAAGTTTCCCAACACTTGGGGACATGATTGAAATTGAATGGTCCCTAAAGTGAACCCAATTTCCCCATGGTTTTTGGGGCAGCCCTCCATTGACCACTCTCTTTATGATACATGCATTGTCATTTTACCCCCATCTGGTGGGACTCCCGCGGGCATTTTGAGTAGTAATAACTGACAATGTCTTTCCAGCAAAAAAACATCTCATTTTACTTGCTAAGGTTGTGAAGAAGGGGTCTCATCCCGAAAAAATGCTCAACCAGCCAGTAATTTGGAACTCAAATCTAGACATGACAATTGCCGACTTCACCAACTAACCAACTTGGCTTATTCCCCCATCCATGATGCCATTGGATTAGTTAGTTACGGTGGATGAGCCAATCATCTTTAACCATCTGAAACCTTCAAAACAACAGTGTAAGCATGTAAGTATGTATGTAAGTGTGTGTGTATGACAGTGCGCATATTAAAAATGTATGTGTGTATGCAATGCAATGCAATGCAACGCAGTGCCGTGTTATGTTATGCTATGCTATGATACGTTTTGTTATGTTAGGTTATGTTATGTTATACAGTTATACATGTAATTATTTCTTCAACTGTGATAAGATGACACTCCGGTTTGTAGTCGAAAAACAAGCCAAATCATCCTATCAGATGACTGCCAAAGCAAGGGATTCAAGTCACGCTTAGCGACGTCGAGATGTCGACTGCCATGGTTTCCCGGACAAGTGTCATCCCGTTGAACGATACTTGCTACAAGTTTTTTTTTTCAAGATCCTTCACTTCACCAGCATTTCACCACTATTTCACCATCATTTCACCACTATTTCACCACTATTTCACCAGCATTTTTCAAGGTAACCCACGAGATTTCAAACTCGGCCTTCCAACCAGCATCGGCAGGTCGCTGACGCTCTTCTCAAAGCTGACCGCCTGCCATGTGTCGCCAGGTCTACCGGAACCAAGGGGGGCCTACCCATAGGGCCATAGGGGCTGACAGATGTGCCCAAAATGGTAGGGGTTTAGTGATGGTCAATGATGGATAATTGATGATACATAATAGTCATAGTAAATATTTTTGTTGATCAGTAATGTAAAGGTTAATCCCCTCCTCCTAGATTAAACACTTCCCTGAACACCCTGGTTTAGTATTGGATCAGGGGTATTCAATATTAGGATGGGATTGCTGAGGGCCAACTTGGTAAACCCATAATTTGGTAATTAAACTGGTAGGCCAACAACAAAATACATCAAAATACGACATTCCGAATGTTTCATGACCAGACATGTGTGGTATACAGTAAAAGCCATCCCAAATTGAGGGTTTATTCTGGTTTTTACCACATGACTATAAGGCTACTAAGGGTGGAGGAAAATCTCACTTAGCAAGTGGTTCATAGCCCTGGCTACTAAGTCCCCTAACTAGGGTCATTCGTGGTTATTCCATTTCCTAAGTGGAAGAACTAAGCCCACCTACCTAACCAGTGATACCTCATGGCATATTCCTGCAAGTGCCTTCAGCTTGTGGGCGAACGTCGGCGCTGGGGTGTTCGTTCACCGGCATCTTTCCGAAAGCGCCAAAGTCCTTGAGCCGCGCAGCTCCAGCTACAGCAACAGGCTTCTGGATCTTTTTCGTCCGAGGAAGACTGACGCAATGTCGAGTCCTTCAAGATCGGCCTGAGCCATACACTCGCCGTCTTTTTCAAAAACTGAGGGCTTAAACCACGACACTGGGTTTGCTAACTTCCCTGGTTCGTACTCGGCACGGGTCAAAAAAACAAGTTGCACGCGGCTTTTATTGCAAGGTGTCAGAGCCAGAAGCTTCAGAGCTGGACGCAGATTGCCTCTTCAAGCAGATCCAGAAGCATTGGACAATGATCTCTCAAGGGTTTATATGTAATCAAGGTTAATAGTGCTCGGACATGGAAAAAATCCTACCAAGCACGGCAACATCCCCATGATTGACGGTAGCATCCAAATCGTTATCTTTGCACAATAGTTCCAGTATAATGAAAAATGAAAATCAACATTTCTACAAATTTCCAGAGTTGAGGAAACAAAATCATACTTGTGCCGAGTTCCACTAAATTTCGATTTCTTTCATAGTTATCCAACCGCTTAAATCCCCATTTCCATCGTTTGCAAACTTTCCCCTTCCTCCCTGAAGGCTGCGAGCGCCCGCGGCCTGCGATGTCTGGTGACTCAACAACTCAGGGTTCTCACTGATGTAGTCTGACATAGCGTCCTGCGGTTCAGAAACGCTGGTTTTTTCCCATGAAGAAATGGGAAAAATTGTTGATTGGAAGGGACATCCATAGCAAAACGTGTGGTTTTTACAAGTAAACGCTGGGGTTTCCTGGGGAAAAAATGCTGGTGTTACTCTGTAGCCATGAAGAAAGGGGTACTGAACCACGTATAAATAATCAATTAAATTAATGTCCTTTTGAGAAAAATAGAAAAGCCGGTCTGGTACCATTGATCATCACCTTTGGGAACCATCCAGTAATTCGGCCAAAAAAACGTCCCACCTCTATTCCCCCAGACAACCTCACTTTGCGCTTAAGGAATCGACTCAGCCAATCCCATTGATATAAAAATCACCTAACAAAAATTCAATTTTTCATCTCTATCTGTTGATGGTGATAAATATCATGATAAATATCAATAGATATCCAATTGAATATGATAGGTATCAACATTATCTGTGACATATCGATCTGTTGATTGTTATCCCTATTTTTGAAGGTCACAATTCCACTATCTTCCACAGAATTGTCCCCACTTCCCATCAGCAAAGGCAGATTTGCACATCCAAATGTGAGGCTTTCCAGGTGGTGTCGGCGGTGCCCTCCCAAGTTGTGTGTGTTGGTTAACTGACTATATAACTATAATATGCTATAATCATACCAATTATTGCCCAACTATTGTGACAATTGTAGTGACCCACAAAAAAGATGGATATAGTTTTTTTCCCGAATGAGTAGCAAGGGTTCCCGTTTCACTCTGGGGGTTTGGGGGCTGAGGGTGTGTTCGCTCGACGTTGCGTTTGTGTTCGCAACCGTTCGCAACCGTCCGCGCGATGGCTATGTAGCCGTGCCTATGGTAAGTTTTCCAGAAGGGGTTATTTTTGGAGGTTTCCAACGTCGCGTTGCTTCGTTTCGCGTGGCAGGCGTGGCACTTCGTGACATTCAGACGTGTTTTGTAACGTGTCGAAAGTCGTTTTGTGTGGCAGGCGCAATACTTTTGCGACGTTTTCAAAAGATGCGTTGCAGTTTTCGTGGCAGGCGCAGCACTTTAGATGTGTCGTGCTGCGTGTTTTTGCAAATCGCATTGGCAGGGCTGCGTCAAGTGGCGACAAGGTGCAGATTCCGTGGCATGCGTGGCATTTTGTGATGAAAATTGACGGAAGCCTCGCACGAAACATCGATTTGATGTAGCAAATTTAGAAGTTCCTACGAAAACCCGTAGGAAAACGTCAATTTTGAACCTGCAAAGTGTCAAAAGTGGAGGAAGTCTCGCACGAAATGCTCGTTTTGGTGCTCCCACGTGTTGTCTGGTGGCTTCGCAGTGTCTATGGGGGAAGCTGCAAAACCTCTCCTTCTCGAAGGTTGCCAAGCAGGTTGTCATGTCGTTTTGCGTGGCAGGCATGGCACTTTGTGACATTCCAACATGTTTTGTACCGTGTCGAAAGTGTCAAAATTGGAGGAAGTCTCGCACAGAATGCTCGTTTTTCTGCACCCACCTGTCTCGTCTCGAGTCTCTGGTTTTCCTGTGGTATCGTCGTGTCTATGGGGGAAGCTCCGCACTCCACACTCTACACTTCACACTCCACACTCAGCAATTTACACTTTAGACTCCACACTCTACACTTTACACTCCACACTTTACACTTTACACTCCTCACTCCTCACACACTTTACACTCTACACTTTACACTCTACACATCTCTACGCTCCACACTTGACATTTTACACTCCAGACTTTACACTTTACACTCCTCACTTTACACTCCACACTCCACACTCCTCACTTTACACTCGACACTTCTCACTTTACACTCCACACTCCGCACTTCTCACTTTACACTCCGCACTCCACACTCCACACTCTACACTTTCCACTCCACACTCCACACTCCACACTTCACACTTTACTCTCCACATTCCACACTCCATAATTTACACTTTAGACTCCTCACTCCACACTCCATACTTTACACTCCACACTTTACACTTTGCACTTTACACTCCTCACTCGACACTTTACACTCCACACTCCACACTTTAAACTCCACACTCCACACTCTACACTTTACACTCTACACTTTACACTCTACACTCCACACTTTTTTCATTTTACACTCCACACTTTACACTTTACACTCCTCACTGCACACACCACACTTTACACTTCACACTCCACACTTTACACTTTACACTCTACACTTTACACTCTACACTCCACACTTTACATTTTACACTCCACACTCTACACTTTACACACTCCACACTCCTCACTTCACACTTTACACTCCACACTCCTCACTTTACACTCCACACTCTACACTTTCCACTCCACACTCCACATTTTACACTCCGCACTCCTCACTTTACACTCCACACTCCACACTCTACACTTTACACTCTACACTTTACACTCCACACTTTACATTTTACACTCCTCACTGCACACTCTACACTTTACACTCCACACTCTACACCTTACACTCTACACTTTTCCACTCCACACTCCACACTCTACACTTTACACACTCCACACTCCTCACTTTACACTCCACACTTTACACTCTACACTCCACACTCTACACTCCACACTCGACACTTTCCACTCCAGACTCCGCACTCCACACTCTACACTCCACACTTTACACTCCTCACTCCACACTTTACACTTTGCACTTGACACTGCTCACTTTACACTCCACACTCCACACTTTACACTCCACACTTTACACTACACACTTTACACTCCACACTCCACACTCTACACTTTACACTCCACACTCCACTCTCCACACTCCACACTCTACACTTCACACACTCCACACTCCTTACTGCACACTTTACACTCCACACTCCACACTCTGCACTCCACACTCCGCACTCCACACTCTACACTTTCCACTCCACACTCCACACTCCGCACTCCTCACTTTACACTCCACACTCCACACTCCACACTTTACACTTTACACTCCTCACTCCGCACTCCACACTCGACACTCTACACTTTACACTCCACACTCCACACTTTACACTGTACACTCTACACTTTGCACTCTACACTCCACACACCACACTCTACAATTTACAAACTCCACACTCCTCACTCCACACTTTACACTCCACACTCCTCACTTTACACTCCACACTGCAGACTGGTAACAGGGAAAATATGTACAAGACTGTTCAAATAAACTATTGCAGAAAAGCGTTCTGCGTGATTGCATATCTATGTGTTTTGACATCTGTACCATTAACATACGTGTGAACATTCGGGTTCGTGGGCTGCATCTTGTTTTTGGTTTGTTTAACAAACCATCGCCTGATGAGCAAATGATCATTAAAGATGTCTCTGTCTCATCGTTGTGAAAACACCGAGCCCTAGCCTGGCATTCCCATCAATCATTTTTTTTACATCTGCTGAGATGCGTAAACTTGGACTTTCAGGACCTTGCCCACATTTTCACCTTGGCCTCGCTGCTTGGGTAGCTTTGCTTCAACATACTTGATTCCAAGTCCTTGCAACTCTTGCGCAACAAATTGGTGGTATCTAGATGGGCATACGAGAACTATCTCTCTTTTCTGCTTCACCTGTTCACATGCAATTTTTGCTGATTCAATAATGGCCTTGATTCCAAACACCGGATTGAAGTGAAGGATTCTTCCTCCTTGAGGTTCTTCAGGTTCGGCGCAGCAACGCTCCTGGTATCTTTCCCCCAACCGTTCATAAAGCTCCAGCAACGAGGTAAACCGGGCCGTGGCATTGACTCCATTCCGATCAACCCACGGAGATTCGTTTGGCAGCCGCTACCCTCTGCGCCTTGCTCTGAAACCGGGGCACAAGGTCACACCTGTGTGGCCCCATTGTCCCAAGTGCTAGGGTTTGGTTTGTGCTGTTAGCGTTTGTCTGTGTGTTTGCGCGTGCTTGCATGTGTTTGAATGTGTGTGTGTTTGTGTGTGTGTGCCTGCGCGTGTGTGTGTGTGTGTGCATGTGATGTTTTGTTTAAATATTGGTCAGTTGGGATGATTATTCCCAATACATGGAAAAATAAAACATGTTCCAAACCACCAACCAGTATATATATAACACCCATATCATTATATCCCATATAAACCCATAAAAATCCATATTATCCTATTATAAATCCACAAAAAGCAATATAAACCCCCATCCACAGTAGGAACCAAACAATGGCAACTTGCTCCTCGCCCAAGGCTTGAGGCACCAAAACTGGGCAGCAAACACGGTGATGATGTCACGAACCGAGCCATCCGGCTAATAGCAATGCAGTTAAACCAATGAAAGTTGAATGGGACACTGATTGGTTTGACAATATGGGGTTTTAATGGAATATATATATTATGTATATATATATATTGTATAAATAATTTATGTGTATATATATATATTATGTATATATATTATGTATATATATATATATATTATGTATATATATATATTATGTATATATATATATATATATTATGTATATATAGATTAGATGTATAGATGGAAGAATCAAAGTAATGCGTTTGAGTACAACAATGTCACAATGTGTTTGTTTGACTATAGCAACTGCCAAACAAAACTGCAATTTTTTGTGTTTTTCCAGGGTGTGAATTACCAGGAAGAATATTTCACAGGAGTTTATGATAGATATAGATATGTAGATCTCATAGATTATCCCAGAATAATGAATATCATGGGAATATTTTGAGGGAAAGTGATGGAACGTGGTGATAATCTATGGGAGATACAACCAACAGTAGGATGATGATCTCTGATTGGTTTATGTTTGGGATCACTTTTGAGTGGAATGATCACAAGTATTGAAAGGATCTGTGAATCTTGGGCTGGTTAATGGTCTGAATCCGTCCCAGAAACATTCGTCAACTTGGGATCAACATGAAAATGGATGGAATATCTATGTTCTCGAGGGTTGAAAAAGAGATGAAAAGCCGGTTTGGTAAATCACTTGTCATCATTTACCTAATATAGACTTCTCGAAAACTAGTTTACCCCATTCCATCATCATCATCATCATCATGAATCATTTTCATTTGATTATTACCATTGTTATTCTTACTAACATATATATATATATTATACACACAGCAAGCCAGGGCCCGCCCTGAACGGCTCGAGGCGTTGATCTTTCCGATAAAAAACGGCCAGCTGCTTGGGGAGAAAGGCCACAGTCCCGTCGTCGGCAGCTCCATTGTGTGCGGGGCTCGTTCGAGGGACAATCCGCAGACTCCACGCCCAAAGATCAAAGTGGTTATATATCCCATTCTATCCCATTTATGGTTAGTGCTAAGTTATAATATTATAAATCTATATGCACAATTTTTAATATATACCTAAAAATAATATATATATATATGTATGAATCCCCATTTTCTGCATATAGGAATCTCAATGTGGGGTCCCTCGAAGTTCCTTTCCGTCCTCATTTCATCATCCATGTTAGGATGTGTCAATGCTGACCTATGAATAAACTACACTCGAACCAAAATTACCTCAATCATGTATAATTGTGTTAGGGAATGTGAGAAGAAATAAATAAGAAAAATAAGAAGGTAATACGCCCGAATCAGCCATAATAAATAGATTGGGATATGTTGGGTAAATAGACCACAACAATCAATAAGAAGAATCAACGCTACGCGCACCAATTTTACCAGAAAATGGATCAATGTGAGGCCCGGCTACGAAATCGCGTAGCCAGTTGACGGACCACGACTGGTAAACTGGTGGGTTTATCGGGGTGTTTCACCTATAGTAATCTGGTTGGTGGATGTTGGTGGTTTCTTCCCATCTTCAAAAATGATGGAGTTCGTCAATGGGTTTCGGATGACATCCCATTTATTAGTCAATGGGAGGGAATTTATGGGATACCCTCTGGTAATTTGTTACATAGCTATTGAAAATGGTCCATTTAGTTCGTTGATTTACCCACTAAAAATGGTGATTTTTAAAACATGTTCCAAACCACCAACCACAGAGCTCTAGGGATTTATAAGCCAACTAATAAGTATTAATCATACTTACCCTCGGGTAATTTAATATAGCTATTCAAAATTGTCATGTGGTTCGTTGATTTACCCATGAAAAAAGACAATTGTCATCCATTTTCCATAGCTATGTTAAACTACCATGGACCATAGGGCAATCAATGTTACGATTGTAACTTGATTGAAGAAACTTCTGATTACCGAACCTCACCCTGTATAGACCATTCTGCTATCAGGTTCATTTCTAACGGGCTTCAGCATATGACAAAATTCCCAAACAACCCCAAACAACAACAGTCTCAAAGTGCGTCAGTTTTACCAATTGAGCATATATATATATATATATGCAATTTATGTGTATATGTATAATATGTAAATATTAAAATATACATACATACATACATACATACATTACATTACGTTACGTTACGTTACATTACATTACATTACATTACATTACATACATATATATATATATATGTATGTAAATACCCTGGGTTCACAAGCACCAAATTTTCGGCGACGGTGTCACCATCTCTCTGGGCTGGCGCACAAGTGGTGGCCGGTAAGCGCAACCTGAAGCGAATTTCGAATTCACCGAGAAGTCCGTTTTGACTACTTGAATTTGGATGAATTTGGGGGATTTCACCAACAGAAATGGGCCAAGATGGGGATGATGTTTTTTTTGCACCAACATGTCCGACACTTAAATTTCTGGCTCCAAAACCAAGGCTTTTTGTACATATCCTTACAAGGTGAGGCCCCCCAGTGATGTGAACGTTGGTTTATAAAGCCCATGAACTATAGTTATATCCCCAGAAACCTAAACGTCAAGTGAAATGTGCGTTAACTTAGCAATTTGGGGGCATCACCGTACAATATCCGAAGATGGCAAGAGACAGACAAGCAACCAGGGTCTTCACTTGAAGACCCGAAACACAAATTTCAGGAGTGAATGATTCACACCATCTGTATGGACTGTGTGCAGAATCATTCAAAACAACACACTTCGTTTCTAGAATGATCTGCATATTTTTTTTGTAAAACTTCATGTTCCATGAGTTAGATGAGTTACATCACCATAAATCTAACAGTGATATGAAGGCCCAATAGGGGTGGAAACGTGATTTCTTACTTTTTGATCATGATTTCTTTTTCATCATCTAAACATCGTGATGAAATGTGGCATTGTGGCATGCGTAACTACAGAAAAACCAGTTTGGGATGGTTTACGATTGGGTTTACCCTCTGGTAAACGTTTACAAAAAACTATGGAAAATCACCATTTTTCATAGGTAAATCAACTATAAAGGGGCCATTTTCAAGTTCGCAAACTGTTAGCCATTACCAGAGGGTACCACATTGCCCTGCACCACCAGAAACCTACGAAAGTTGGACATTCCAAAGCTGAGTTTCCCAACTCCACTGGCACTTTCTGAGCTTCAGCTTCTCCGCCTGAGCCACAACAAATGGCTGAGCTTAGCGTGGGAAATTGTGAAGATGTTCTCTTCATGGTCATTTTTCTCTTGATACATCAACAAACAAAATAAATCAAGGTTTACCAAAAGAGGAACTAGCACGGAAATAGGTGTCGCCCAGATTTCCCAGAGCCAGAGATAAGCTCCGAAAAAATGGTGGATTTTCAGGTTTCCGCTATAGTAGCAAGGAAGAAATCAACTGCAACGCACGTATATGCCCAAACTTCCCTGCCAATTGTAAGTTTTGCAGACAGGGGTTACGCGGATATATACCCAGTATTCTAAGATTCAAATTCATATATTATAGTATATATCTATATCTACATATACTCATCCTGAAGTCATTGATAGAATATGGATGACTATGCATTCTTCAATCGTTTTCCCATTCTTGTGAGGATTTTCGGAATTTTCCATACGGGATCACTGTATACGTGGGACGATGCAAGTTGGGCCCCTGGGGCAGTCACCGTCGTTTTTGACCGTGTACTCGAGTTCGCAGCGAAGGTCAAAGACCTGATTTGTGGCGGATGTGCAGATTTTCGTGTTCGGAAGTTCTTGAATAATTGCATCAAGGGCTGGTGGTTTTAGCGGTACTTGGGATCATCATAGAATCATTGACTCAGTTGTGATACACTTGATATTCCAAACATATACTTTAGTCACTTGGGATAATAATTAATTACTCATCCCATTTGCAAAATCACAAAAACTTTGTCCGCTCACCTC